GAGCGGTTCTATTACTGGAAAATGGACAAAGCAAGGCAATGTTGGACTTCCTAAGGGAGTAGCATAGTTGTATATTTACTAGAAAGAAGACATGTCATTCAAATGTAAGAGAAAACTCCTACGTGAAGGTCTAACGTGAAGGGCTAACGTGAAAGTCTTTGTGACCAGGTAGTCATTCAGGGTAATGGAGAAAGAACCCCTTTCTTGCTATAATGGGACTCTCACAAAAAATTTCTTTCCTGCTTGCTCATTGAAGCTTAGATTATGTCTAAGCTTTCCTGTTGCTGCTGAAAAATGCAATGAACCAATCTCCTGTGCTTAAGTATTGGACCCGAAAAATAGAGGGCCAGTATTCCGATCCTGGAATGCCAACGCTGCTTCTATTAAACTTAAGTATTTATGCGCATGTTTATGAGAGCAGCTTTGGTTTACAGATATGTGAGGAAACATAGAAACTTTTAAGACCAAACACCGCATAAAAAGAATATAGAACACATTTTAAATTCAGAGGCTATTGGGAGTTCTTTTGGAAAGGTCGTTCTCAAACTCCCCTTCATGTCAACTGGCCTTTGCTCAGAAGAACAGGTGCACTAATACATATCCTTAGTTCAAATAAATAAATCATTGCAATTGATATTAGAAGTATCATTTTAAACACACATAAGTATTGATTTTTATTAAATATCTTCAATGTTTATAATCAATGGCACAAAATTTATCTTTAACTATATCATATACTTCATACATTTATAAAAGTTCTCAGTAGGAGATGTTAAAATTGCAAGCAAAAATTTATTTGGAGATGTCAGTTGGCAGTAGTGGTATCAGCCGTATTTGAAAGTGCTTTAAAATTCCAAGTCGTTATAGGATAATGCCAAATTTTCCCCTTTTTATTGTAGGTTTCGGAGGGCAATGTTTGCCATGTTCAAATGTCAGGATCACCAATCAATGCCCGTGACAAGTGTTTTACCCATGGATGTACCTCAAAACCCATTGACTTCTGGAAGAATCTGAAATAAGAGGAAAGCACACGTTATCAAAACATTTTATTTACTTTTTTTAATGTTTTAATTTCATTTAAAATATGAGCCCATTTAGATCAAATGCAGACATAGATTATTATCCTATTAGACTTGATTCCTCAAGTGTAGTGTATAGTTCTTCTGTTTGTGCATTGTCTACTATCGGTAATGTTTCTTTATTTCCTTATGTGTAAACTTCTTGCTCATCTCCTTTGATGAAAAAAAGAGATTAATGCTTTTTTTTCTTTCTCCCTATCATGGCAAATGTTACACTGTATCAGTGACCTGGTATCTTGCCTGAGTCCTCTGTTAGACCAGAAGCAGCTGCTGTGTTAGAATAAATGTTAGATTAAGTTTATAATAATAATAACGGTTAGTAGTTTTTAATAAATAATTACTGAAATGAATTTTGGATGTCCCTAGCTAGAATGAAAAACATTTTTAGCATTTTGCTATTTTAAAATTTTAATGCAATTCTTAACACACTATTTTAACAAAAATAATCAGATGAACATTAAATCCTATTGCTCCTAAATCACGTCAGTCAATGCACACTTATATTTTATATAGCAATATAATCTCTGTGCATATTGTTGTATAGTTTGCATTTTTAATTACCATTTTGCTATGTATGTATTTCTATTATTTGCCACTAGAATTAAGTTTAATCACAGTGGGGTTTTTTGTATGTTTGTTCTTTTTGTCTTATCTTTTTTGCTTGTTTGAAATTTATTTTATTGTGATAAGAACATAACATAAAGTCTACCCTCTTAACAAAATTTTATGTGTACAATACAGTACTGGTAACTATAAGTACAATATTGTATGGAGGTTCTCTAGAGCTTACTCATTTTGCTTAACTGAAACTTTATGCCCGTTGAATAGCCGTATGTTTGTTTTTTGATGGATCCTTAGCACATGGACTCATTTTGCCTGGCACATAGTAGGCACTCAATAAATATTTGTTGAATGTTGAATAAATTTGTAGACTCATATATTTGTCATTTTAATAACCATTAAACATAGTATGATAATACTCATTGTTTAAATAGTGGACATTTAAAATTTATAGTATTTTATTTTAATTGAGCAAATTTTTCTGACTATTGTTTCTACATGCATTCTATTAGTTTTAAATAATATGTTCCATAATATTCTTATTTTTATAAAATAATTCTTTTAAACAAGTTTTTGGTTTAAAGATGGTGAATAGAACTACCCAATAAGATTAAATGCTGTGTGTGTGTGTGTGTGTGTGTGTGTGTGTGTGTGTGTGTGTATTACCTAAACTCTTAATTGTGCCTATGGATTCTTAAGTGTGTGGAGGTAGTTTTTTAACTATTTAATTTAATTTTTATTTTCTGATAGAGCCTCACTTTGCTAAAAGACATGACAGTTAATCTTTAGCTATAGTTTGACACCCATAACTTGGGAAAATAGCTGGGAATAACATATATTCTCGAACAGAGATCATAGCCTTTGTTAGAAATCAGCATGCTGGGAAGAGCCTTACAATGCTCTGAGATGACTTGGGAGAGCCACAGGACACGCTCACTGGAGCCTTAGTCTTGTGCTCCAGCGGCGGATTGAAATATTTGGCCTATAAGATCTAGGTACTGGACTTTGTCTACTTTGTTTTTGGAGATAGCCAACATGTAGCAATATTGATAACTCTATTCTAAATCAATTTTATGTCATGTGCTTTTATCTTTAAAGCTAAATTTTGTCAAAATGAATTTTGTTACACATGCTGGTAAAAAGCAAATGCACGAATTAAAATTTATACCATTGTAACATAAATAAGATACTGCAGTATTTTCTAGTATCTGCTAAGACACTGAATTGTTACTACCATTAAGTGTATCTTTAGGGTGTAGTAGCAATTACATCCATAGCAAAAGAATTTAATAGGTATTTTCTTGCAAATTTAGACATGGGCAACTACTGAAATTTTCTTGACTCGTATTTGATTTTCATTTTCCTTAGAATGTGTTATTTTGCTGAAACCATATTCAAATCCTGGGAAGATTGATCCCCTGCAAGATACACTTGAAGGTTAAGTAACTACAGATCTCAGCTAATCCCATGTAATCTGCTCTTACTAAATGGCTGTTTGCATTCCAGGCACACCAGTTTCTGAATGCTTAGGATTTGGTTTTTACCTTTTGTTCAGATAACCTCTACAAGGAGCAATGCATTTCTTAACATGTCTGGGCATTGTGCTTAGCTTTTTGGAAGGAGTGAGCTGTTCGTGTCCTTCACAGTGCACCTGCGATGATCACGGCAGAAATGATGGCGCGGGATCAAGGTATGCCCCTCTCCTTGCTACTAAGTGTTCTAATGATTCCGAGGAGAAGGACCACAACCAGACAGCCTTATTTTGAAAGCAAATTTTTGATCAGAAATCGGAGGAGAGAAGGTTTAGGGTACATAAGCTCAAACTCAGTTGTGTTTATGCTGGTTGCCCACTCCGTTGTTTTCATTTTGAGCAGCTTAGCTCTTAAAAGCCTCTCTAATTATTTGAGAGTCTCAAACACATTCTATGTTACCAAAATATTCACTGCATTCGTATTCACAAAATGTCTATTTCAAGAGGTCAAGCTGAAATGAGTGTGGCCAGCTCAGCCTGATTCTGGAAAGCATAAGAGGACTGGGCCGATCAGGAGGTGCTAGACATGCCTAGGTCATTTGCTTCCCAGGCTTTCCATCTCATTTTGAAGGTTATTAATGCCTACTGGATAGACCTTAGAAAATAAGAAGGAAGATCACAAGAGTGAAGTTAGAGAGGTTCATAATTAGAATTTTTTGTTTGAAGATACTGAAATTTACAAAGGAAAGAGGTTTGAAAGATACAGAGCAATCCTGTCTGTTGCAGACACCATAGGGCCACACAGAAGTTATTTAAATTAACCTCTGGGTTGCTTTAACATCTACGTACTTGTGAAGCGAGAATAATTACTTATAATATACACGAGTCCTTTGAGATGGAAGTTAAATGCAAAAAGGAACTCTTGTTAACTGAACATAATAGGCTGTGTTTTGTTTTTTTTGTTTTTTTTTTTGTGAGGACATTTAATAACAAAATCAGATTTTTCTGGTGACTTAGTTGGAGTGCACAGTGTCCTCTTAAAGTAATGTGTAAGAATTGCCTAAATAAATAATTATTATAAAAACATTTTTGAGTAGTTTGTCTTGTAATTATATAAACTTAACCAACTCTTGGTATCTTTTTGAGAGATTCACTAGGTGGTTTAAGACAATGAGAAGAATGTAACAAATTAAAGACCCGTTTGGCAACGATATGTAGCAGTTAATGACTTGGGCTAAAGGACTTTTGTGAAACAACCACAGAAATGTTTTCTTCTCCATGGTGGCCCCATTATTGATGGATTTTATAAAAATCATGGTGTATTATTCTTGGCAAGAACTCTAGAAATAATCTAGTTTGACTGCTGTCATTTTATAAATGAAGAAATTAAATCATACAGAGACTAAATGACTTGTCCAAGGTCACAGCACTGAGTTGATGCAATGCCTGGTTGATAAAGACTGAATTTTTTGGCTTCCAATCCAGGATTTTTTTCCAATATAGCACACTGGAATGCTGACTTAATGAGTAGAAACTGGATCATTCTGGTCTAAAGTAGCACTGAAATTCGTGATAAAGAATAGAAATGAAGAGTAGGAGGTGTCCCTAGAGAATTCCAGTGCTTCTGTATGGTCTGGAGTTACAGGCAGGAGATGACGCTAGCAGTGCACCGCAGCCTTAGGCTGCTTCCCTCCCTTTACATTACAGGCTGGCTTTAGAAGTTCACTGATTTAGTGTGATGTGTTTTACTGAATGACTGTTTTATTGTAATTATTTACTACATGGACCGTGTATTATAATTTAGATCATGCTTTACAAAATGTTTCTTTGTTCATTTTCAGCAATCCAGTGGGAATGAGTATATAACTGGAGACAAATAGATCTTTTTTCCAGATTGAAATGAATCTAAATTCTCTGATTCTTCATACTTTATGCTCACACTCAAGACAGGCTTGTTTTTATATGCCTGTTTTACACGTGCCACTAAGCAAGATTACAACGTGACTTGCTCAAGGTCACTTAAATTAGTGAGTGGTTAAGAAATAAACTCACAGTTACTGGTTTATTCTTTGGGCTGGAAGCTACACACAAATCACATTGTTAAAACACAGCTCAACTTTAAGGTCTAGTGTGAACACTGTCCCCTTCTTTTCTTCCTTCCTTCCTTCCTTCCTCCCTTCCTTCCTTCCTTCCTTCCTTCCTTCCTTCCTTCCTTCCTTCCTTCCTTCCTCAAATGCCCCCTTTTGTCCGTCTGTCCTTCCTTCCATCTGTCCTTCCTTCCGTCCTTCCTTCCTTTCCTTTTTAAAAATTAAATTATCCCCTTTAAAATGATCAATTTATAACTTCAACAGGGGATTCTTTTAAAATATGCCACTTCCTAAAGAGGTGACATGTACACTTCGGAGTTGGACAGATGTGGGTGTGAAAGGCAGCAGTGTGACCCGCTGGCGATGTGACCTTGGAAGTTACTTCATGTTAGTGGGCCTTAGTTATTTCATCTATAAAAATGAGATTGATGGTAAAAAAAAGGCAAGCACCCATTGAGTGCCTGTTATGTGTCAGAAGGTATAAAACTTTACATCTATTTCTGTTAACTATGGGAAAATGAAGTTGAGGGATTGGTGAAGTGGCTTTCCATGGCCACAAAGGAGGTGGCAGAGCTTAGATTGGAGCCCAGACCAGCCTGACTCCAGAGCTGGTGCCTTTACCTATTACCCAACATCTACCTCACAGGGCTGTTTTGACAATTAAATAGGGTGATGTGTGTCGCACAAGCCTGACACAAAAAGAGCTCCATCATCTTTAGATTGAACCACATGAAATTGCTTATATTTGATCATTTTTAATCTATAAAAAAGGCCATCTCACATGGTTCCACCCAGAAGAAGATGATGATGACGAATTATTAATGAATAGGTCAGCTAGGCTAGAGAGAGATTAATGCGAAAACCAGGATGTGATGTGTGTTGCACAAGCCTGACACAAAAAGAGCTCCATCATCTTTAGGTTGAACCACATGAAATTGCTTATATTTGATCATTTTTAATCTATAAAAAAGGCCATCTCACATGGTTCCACCCAGAAGAAGATGATGATGACGAATTATTAATGAATAGGTCAGCTAGGCTAGAGAGAGATTAATGCGAAAACCAGTAAGGAATGAAAAACTGAAGTATGTTTCAAATAAGTATTGTTTTTTTTCAAATGAGTCTCGAAAAGCAGGTTTCCTTCCACTGCTCTCGTTGTGACACTAGGTCGGTACTATGTAATGACTTGGATATGAATGAGGTCCCCACGAACTTTCCCGTGGACACTGTGAAGCTTCGCATAGAGAAGACAGTCATCCGCAGAATCCCCGCCGAGGCCTTCTACTACCTGGTGGAGCTCCGCTGCCTCTGGGTGTCTTACAATTCCGTGGCCAGCCTTGAGGCCAGCAGCTTTTACAACCTAAGGCAGCTGCATGAGTTACGCTTGGATGGGAATTCTCTGGCTGCTTTCCCTTGGGCATCTCTGCTCGACATGCCCCACCTAAGGACCCTGGATTTGCACAATAACAGAATAACCAGAGTGCCAAACGAGGCAGTCAGGTACCTGAAGAACCTCGCCTACTTGGATTTATCAAGCAACAGACTAACCACACTGCCGCCTGATTTCCTGGACAGCTGGTCCCACGTACTTACAACATCATTCAGAAGCCTGGACCTTCCGCCACGAAGGATTGTTCTTGGTAAGCTCACAAGCCTCTGTGCTTTTCAGATCCAGGTAATTTGTTGAGCATACGTTCAGTTGTCCAGCCATTTTGTATTTATTGAATTTGGTTTCTTACTACATACTTGCTCTTTTGATCTAACGGTATTTTAGTACTTGAGTTACGTGACTTTACCCATCTACCCTGTGTATGGTGTAATCTCTCTGTGTGTGTGTGTGTGTGTGTGTGTGTGTGCGCTGTAGAGAGAGGGGAGTTGGCCTCATAAACTGAGAGGCTCATGCTGCTAAGTGACAAGATCTACCCGCCTGCCCTGATTCTTCCAAGCGTACCAGTGCTCTGCACTCTGCCGGACAGCCTTCTGCTCTGGTGTCTTTTAAACCCTTCATCAGACTCTTTAGCAGTGAGAGGGACATCACCATCTTTATGAGGCAGCAGTGGTTTCATTAGTTAGGGAGAGTAGCTGCCAGATTTTCTTAAGAAGAAATGATGAAGATACCAGTTATTTTACTGGCCCCAAATAGGTCTCCTCATGGATTTTGGTCTCTTAGTTTAGCTGTGATTAGTTTTGTATGTTTTGATCTTGACTTTGTTTAGGTTCTATGGGTTTTTGTCTTGGGTTCTTAAAATGTAAACTCCTTGCAGTAAGTCTCTCTCTTCTTTTTTTTGTATTTTCCTATGGTGCTTTGCACAGTGCTCTGCACATGGTGAATGCCCAGGACATGTGGTTGCCTGATTGAAATCGGTGAACTCTGCCTTCTCAGGGGCATCTGTGGGCAGTGAGGCCTTCCATAATTACGTGTGTGAGACAAGCCTGAGGCTTTGATCAGTCAGTTTGCTTTCTAACATTTTGTTCGCCCAGTAAGGCTGTGTTGTCAGTTCATAAGTTGTGTCCATCATGGCTGCAGAAGAGGTTGTACCCCTCTAAGGAGGATGGAAGAACTGAGTGCTCGGCTACTGAAGTGATTTATAAGACTTTTGGAGTGAGAAGCAACTAGATGCTAAATTTGCCAGGAATCCCTACTGACCACATCACATGCTCAAATAGTCGCTGAAATAAACTGTCAAGAAAAGATAAATTTAAGATTTTTTCACAAAAAATGCTGTGACAGCACTTAAATGGTTTTAGCATTGCTTTCATTGAAATGTAATTGCATCTTGGTGCTTATAAGACTAAAAGTGTGAGTGAGAAGAATAAGGGAGACAAAAAATCACATAAGCCTTTCTTATATTGACATTTCACATTTTGCTCACTGCTGTCTAGTCCTTCGAACATTTTTATTAGAGAATAAAAGAAGTATTATAGGATGAGTTAGAGAAAAAGACATTAATTTAATTTAACAACAGTTGCGGAATCTATATTACGTACATTGCGATAGGCAGCACGTAAACCTATACTGTAGCATTTATTTATTATAGGCACTAATTTGTACTCCTTATGAGTAAGTTTAATAGCTACAAATTGTCTTAAACAGCGAGAGCCTATTTCTCTACATATTTTTCTAAGTTTCCCTGAAAGCATTTCTTGGTTCTAATAGATTAGCTAGTGGAGATATAAAGCAGAAAATAAAATCAAATTAATAAATTGCTATTAATAACTCTCTAATGATTAGTTACCGATGTTGCAATGAAGAAGAAATATATAAGACATCAATATTTTTCACTTGTCAGTTAAATCTAGATGAGAACTTAGGGATCAAATGAGAAAGGGTTATGAAATTTTATTGTCCATGGAGATAAACAACTTTATCTATGTTTTAGAGTTTGGATTCTTTTAAAGCAGATTCTTTAAAGGCAGTAATATGAAAATACTTTCAGTATAATATTAAATTTAGAAAGCAGGATATAATTGAACATAAAGCACAATCATAACTACTTTAGAATATATCAAGAAAAAGACTGAAAATATATACTAGCTGGTTAACTGTCTTCTTTGGATGGTGGGACATCTTTTTAATGTTTTATATTTTTCAAATGTTCTACAATGATCATGCATTACTTTAAAAATAATGATCATATCATGATAACGAATAACAAAAGGTATTTTGAAACATGTCCAGCCATGGGTGGCATCTGGCTTTGACAAAGCCATATCTGCTGAGTCCTCAGAGAGGACTCTTCATGTGTGTGAGTCACACACAGAAAACTTGGTTTTCTCATCTAGAAAATGGAGATGGGAGGACTGACTCCATCTTACTCATAGAATTGTAATGAGAATATAATGAGACATTTTAGGTGACAGTTCTTTAGAAGGTGAGATGGACAGCCTCTGAGATTATGATTTTAGATCAACAATAACCCATAGCAGCTGCGACCGAGATAGGAGTGTATTATGAGGAAAGACTTTTCTACTTTGTTATTTTTGTTACTATTTAAGTCTTCAACTTTGTCCATTAAAATATGGTGATAAGAACTAGTTCTAGATTTTCTAGAACACAGTGTTCAACTGTAGCAATTATTATCTTTCCAGGTGCCCTGTAGAATTTACTCTTGTACTGTGACAGTGGGATATATTTTGCTTTTATTTAATTTTTATTATCTCATGTTTATTATTGTTAGCGGATGAAGGTTCTATTTGTAATAATAATAGTAATGGCTCGTATTGATGCAGTGCTTACTCAGGGCCAAGCCTAATTCTTATAATAGACATATCATCTTCCAGTTTCATGTTAACCCTGTGGGAAGTACCATTTCATTCCCATTTTATAGATGAGGAAATGAGGCACTAGTTAAGCCACTTGCCTATATTCACTCACTACACAGTGATAGAGCTGGGTATGAGGCTGTTTGGCCCCAGAACCCATGCTCTTCCCCACTCCTTTGTAATTCCAGGGGTTAGGTGTATAATAATACCAGACTTATTTTCCTCACATATGCATTATTCATTTCTTAAAAATTTAGGGAGCAGCCTTTCCATTACTCCTTCTCTCCTCTACATGAGTAAAAATATCAATTTCATAAAATTCTCTTTTAGTGTATCTATAAAAACATAAACTAGTGTCCTGCAAGTATACGTTTAAATTAACTATGAAACTAGATTAGCTTTTTGATTTGCAATACAGGTAAATTTCCATGACCTTTTTCTCAAGAAAAAGCAAATGTTTACACAGGCAGACTCTATAAGGCCTAACACTGTTTATCTTGGAGAAAAAAGCCTGCAGTTGGAGAAGTCATAAAATGCTTTTGTGGGTACATTTTTCTCGTCCCCAAATTGCTCAGTTGTAAAGATGGGCTAGTCTCCTATTCCAAAGAAGGTGGCCCAAGTACTCCCCTACAATTTTGAAAATGACATTAATTTAATTCAACAAACACTCCTCAATCCCAGAGGGTATGCCTGTCCTTTTCTAGGCACGGAGGAGACAAGTTACCCATAGCTAAGGCTTACTCCTTGTCAGGTGGCCTTCTGAGGACTCCTGGTGGTATCTCAGCCTTCTGGCAAACCCCACGCAGTTGGCCTGTAATCACCACTACCCTCTTTTTTATAGCAGGTAAAGAGGCAGGGTCAAGCTTCAGATTCACAGTCCAGCTCTAGAGATATTATTCTTTTATTCTTTAAACTTTTTTTTTATATTGAATAATTTGTATATGATGGATCTTAAGTGTATAATTTGATAAATGATGATAAATGCATACCCTCACAAAACCCACACCCTCATCAAGACACAATAATTTTAACACCCTGGAAAGTTGCCCTGTGCCCCATCTCAGATAATCTCCTCCCTTCCCAAGCAACCATTATTTTTATTTCTATCTCCATAGGTTAATTTTGTCTGCCCTAGAATTTTATATAAATGGAATCATATAAGAGGCACTCTCATACCTGGCTTCTTTTACTCAACATTATATCTTTGAGATTCACCCAAGTCATTGTATGTTCTCACCGCTGAGTTGTATTCAGTTTTGTGACTGTACCAGTTGTGCACTTCTCTTGTTGTTATACACATGAGCTGTTTCCAGTTTTTAGCTCTTTTGAATTAAGCTGCTGTTAACCTTCTTGTACAAAGCTTTTTGAAGCATATATTTTTATTTCTCTTGGATAACTTCTTAGGATTGAAATTGCTGGGTCATAGGATAACTGCATATATAACTTTATAAGAAACTACTAGTTTTCAAAGAGGTCGTGCTGTTTCACATGCTTACTAGCACTGCCTAACGGTCTACGTGCTCCATATCCTCACCAATACAAGTGTCTTTTCCATTTTAGCCATTCTAGGGGGTGTATGGGTCAGGAGCAGTACCACATTGTGATTTTAATTTGCATTTCTCTGATGACTTCAGACTGTCAGCGACTTGTGATTGTCCAACTTATGAAGATTCAACTTACGATTTTTCAACTTTACCATGATGCAAAAGCAATAATAATTCAGTAGAAACGGTACTTCAAATTTTAATTTTGATCTTTTCCCAGGCTAGAAATATGGAGTATGATACTCTTGCAAAGCTGGGCAGCGGCAGCAAGCTGCAGCTCTCGGTCAGCCACGCTGTCACGAGGGTACTGTAATGCCATTGTTCTTTGAATACTATTGTGTTTCGTGCTTTCTCATCCCATCATGTCTTCAAAATGCCCATCTGTGTCTCCTCTGCTTCTGGAAGAGGAAGGCAATTACCCTTGAGATGAAACTTAAGATAATTGCCCAACTATAGGCTAATGTAAATGTTCTGAGCATGTTTAAGGTAGGCTAAGCAAAGCTTGATGTTTGGTAAGTTATTGTATTAAATGCATTTTTGATTAATAATATTTTCAACTTACCATGGGTGTATTGGGTTTATTGGGGGCACGAGAGCATTGTAAGTTGATGAACAGCTGTAATGATGTTGACCATGTTTTCATTTGCTAACTGGCCACTGGTATATTCCTTTATAATTTTTAAAGGTTGTTTTCTTTTTATTATTGAATATAAGTCTTTTGTCAGTAATATGCATTATGAATATTTTCTCCAGGTTTGTGGCTTGTCTATTCATTTTCTTCATGGTGTCTGGTAAGAAAGTTTTAAAGACATCTGATTTATTAGTGTTTTACTTTTATATTTAGTGTTTTCTGTGTCCCATCTAAGAAATATTTGCCTACCTACAAGTCACCAAGATATTCTACTTTCTTTATAGTTTTAACTTTTAAGCTTTACATTCTTAGCTTTTATGCTTACAACTGTGATCCATTTCAAAATAATTTTTGAGTATAGTGTGAAGTAGGGGTAGAGGTTTATTTTTTTCCAAGCAGATGGCCAGTGTTCCAGCACCATTTGTTGAAAGACTTTCTTTTCCCAGTTGAATTGGTAAACACCACTGTCTCCACAAAGCTGACTAAGGCATGGTTTTGCCTTCAAGAGCTTATGGTTTGCAGAATAATTTTTGAACAGGAATTTATTGCTGCATTTCACAAAAAAATTAGGCCATTTAATCCAACTACTTTGATACATGGAAAACATTACCCTTTTAGAAAAGGGATAAGGCAAAGTTCATTTGCCCCTCGCCAAGAATAGTCGTATAAAATAAATTGATTAATGCAAATTACCATGAGCATGGTTGGTATGTTACCTTGAAGGAATGCAGTACAAGTAACACTTTAACTTTGGAGAGTTCTTGTACCTTTGTCCCCAGAGGAAAAAACGTGATGAATATGTTCAGCATTTAGATCACTGTTAAGAGTTGTACCTGTGACCTTAGATGTTTCAAAGCTGGAATAAAAACACATTATATTTTTGAGAGATTTAAAAATATTTTCCTGGTTCACATAACTTTTAGATATAGCCAGTTGGATTAATTTTGTCTCATCGTTAATACATTTTTATAACTGTTTCAAAGCATGAATGAAACTATTAATGTTATAGCTCTTGGATCTTTCCCTGTATAAACATTGTGCTCCAGACTTCACTGCTTCAACATTTGTTATTTGTAGATAAAAGCACTTCTAACTACCACTCAGGGCTCTAGATATTTTTAGGTGATGAAGAAATGAGTTATGGTAGAAGAAGTATTAGATTAGGAGGCTAAAACATCTGGGATTTAGGACTACTTACGAAGTCAAGACAGTAATCTCTTTGTGTTTTAGTGTCCTCTGGTGTGAAATTGGAAGAATCAGACTAGCTTCCTGAGGTCAGTGTAAGACATACACATGGTGGTGGAGAATGAGAACTTTAAGATCAAATGGGGTTCAAATTCTGACTGCATCCAGTTGTGTGACTTGAGTAGATCCCTTAACCTCTCTCAGCATTGATTTTCTCCTCTTTAAAATGAGGATGATGTTAATATTATCCACCTCATTGGGACTAAGGCTGACAAATTGTTTAGCATGCTTAGCAATGTTGGAAGACAATTTTCCATGGTCTTGCACATCTCCACATGCCTTGCAAACAGAGGTGGGCACTGACTGCTTTTCGTTCTGAACTGTCTTTTCAAGGATGTTTGTGTAGAGAGCTGCTTTGGAAAGTAGAGGCTTGTCTCCCTCCAGAGTGAAGGATAGGCCCAGTGTAATAAAGGTAAGGTCTTTCTCCAGGGCCATGAGTAATAAACTATCCTTCATCTCTGACCAACATTTATAAAATTGGCAAAATAAGATGAGTCGGTCACCCTAAAGTAGGGTAAAACTCAGACCCTTTACAAGCCTTGACAAATGTGGAATTTGCAACATAGGAAGCAATCAATAATGTATTGTTATTATTTTATAAAGAGAAAATCAGGCGTAACCAGTGTCTTAAAGGTATAAATAAAATATTCTACACATATTAATTATTACATGACAGAATGAATTCGATGTTTGCTGGCAGGTTGGATAGAATTCAAATCAATATTAGAGAATTGTCATAGATTGACAGTAGTAAATGTAAGAGGAAGAAGTTCAAGGTAATCTACCTATGGAAGAAAAAAAATTTTTAAGATGGAAGATTTTTTAAAAAATACAGTAAATTTTTACCAGTACTGGCAGAAAAATATCAACCAGTCATGAAGTGCTATTATAATAAAAAGTGCTATTAAATCTTCTGCTATGGTTAGAACTTTTTAAAATTGCAGTTCTGTCTTTTCTCCTTAAGAATCGTATAATTCACTCCATTAGTAAAAAGCCACAAACCTTTCTGAGATAAATCTTTTCAACTTTGGGCTTTATGGGAGGCTGCTATGGTACATTACCCTTAAGATCCTCAGACAGACTTGTCTGACTAAAGCCTCTGAAGCACCATCTTAGATCCTTCTGAGATCTTAGCAAATGCTTTTATAGACTCACCCACACTGGATTTGCTTTTCACTCTGAAGCCCTTTCTTAATTTGAAAATTTTGGAGAGGCTGGGAGTAAGAAACAATTTTACTATTGAACCCAGCAAGTTTTGGCTCTTTTATATTTAACAGTTCTTCCTTTAGCTGTTGTTTCTCCTTTACATTTTACTACGAGCAGCAAGAAGACGGCAGGCAGCAGCTCAACACTCTATGTGGAAATAGCTTTAGCTAGAACATTTATGCCATTAAGAATACTAGTGCTTTCATAGCACCCTAGAAATACCTTTATCACTATATTTATGGCATTTTGTGGTACTTGGTTTCAAATCTTGGTTCAGACATTAATTATCTATGTGGTCAAATTATTTGGTTTTTCTATGTCTCAGCTTCTTCATCTTTAAAATGGGGATAATAATACTACCCCCCTCATAGGATTGTTGAGATTAAATGAGATAATATGGGTAAGTGCTTAGAGCAAAGCGTAACACAGAGTAAATGCTTAATGACTGTTAGCTATGATCATTAATGATCTGAGCTGACAGGATATGTTCATTCAGGTGGCTGGATTATAGGGCAAAACTGACAGAAAGATGACTTCAGTTCCTCCCTCAGAGCACTTCTGTTTCGAGGGAGACTGCAGACACCTGTTTCCCCAAGAGTCTGTGATGTAAAATGAAGCTGTCAGAATAACCTTTATCGGCCTTTTCCTCTCTCTGGTTTAGGTCTGCAGGACAACTCTTGGTTCTGTGACTGTCACATTTCCAAAATGATTGAGATATCAAAAGTTGCCAACCCTGCCATAGTGCTTCTTGACCCACTGATGGTCTGTAGTGAGCCCGAGCGCCTGACAGGGATTTCGTTTCAGCGGGCTGAGTTGGATCAGTGTCTGAAACCATCGGTGATGACCTCGGCCACCCAGATCACATCTGCTCTGGGCAGTAATGTCCTGCTGCGGTGTGATGCCACTGGCTACCCCACCCCACGGCTCACATGGACCAGACCTGACAGTTCGCCAGTTAATTATACAGGTATTTTCTTAATTCAGGCCTATGTTGAAACAAGAAGTTTTCAAAGGTCTGAATTTAACCTCATGTTTTGGGAGATTTGCAATTAGTTGGTTAATTCTTATAAAATATGCCAAGATTATTGGGTGAAAGGAATTTGAAAGGAATTCATTTCATCGGTTAATATTATCCTCAGTTTATCTGACTAACTACATAGAAAATAGAGAATCTGATATTTTTCTTAATAGAAAGCAACATGATCCAGTGCATGGGTGATTACAGATAAGGTTTTGTCTTTCTGTGTCATCTTGGATATGGCTTGCTTTAAAATGTATAACCGTTACAATGTTCTAAAAATGGGTTTTCATACAAGTTTCTCATTTTTGAATGATTATTTAAATAATAAATTACATGCAAACCTTATTATGAAGCAAAGAGTATAATTTTTGGAAATATTGGTCACATAGACTTTTCAGATCCTAAGACCAACCTGATGTTTTGGCCTTAGTTTCAATAGTGATATTCTGATGATTAAACCATTCTGATGATTAATTTAATTTAAAATTACATTAAATTGAGGTTGAAATCATGAAAACTGATGGAATAAAAAAAAAAGTCAAGGCCCAATATTCCTACAAATAGATCGTAAATTGTCCATACTCTGAGATTGTGAGTTAAATCTGGGGCTACTGCTAAGGGCATACAGCTAAGGGCATTGTTATTCTTCATAAAGCTTCAAAAATCAACACAGAATGTAAATATTTTAGATTTTAGTGTTTAGGAAAGTAAAATTCCAATTTTGCAAAAACTGTATATTATTTTGCAAATAAAAGAATCCACTAGATAATTTCTTAGTTAATCTAAATTAAACATAAAACAAAAGATTGAGAATACAAATTATGACCTTTCCATGCCAGAAAATGATCTGCTGTGCCCTCTGCAGATAGATAGTATTTTATTACAATGAAAAAATATTTGGGAAAATACTTGTGATAAACATTTTATGGAACCACAGTAAGTTAAAATTGGAAAAGATCTTTGAGATTACTTTGTCTTATCTCCTTATTTTAAAAGTTACCACTGATGGCTCATGGGAAAAGGATGCATGAAGAACCAAATAGTTGCTTCTTTTTCAGTTGGCATGTTGCTTTTTTCCTTTCTTTTTTTTTCCTCACAGAATTATATGTATATTTTTTCTTCCAGTAATTCAAGAATCTCCAAGGGAAGGAGTCAGATGGTCCATAATAAGCTTGACAGGCATTTCTTACAAAGATGCCGGGGATTACAAGTGTAAAGCCAAAAATTTGGCTGGGATGTCAGAAGCTGTGGTTACTGTGACAGTGGTTGGTGTTGTCACCACCACTATATCATCAGACACTTCTGAAAGAAGAACTAGAGATCACTCTGAGCGAGAGGTCCAGTCAGGAGCTAGAAGATCTACATCCATACCTGGTTCATTGCCATCTCCCTGGCTTTCTTCCTCTTCTTCTTTCTCCTCTGCTTCTTCCACTTTCCTTTCTACTCCTACTTCATCTCCTCCCTCTGCTGCTTCCTTCTCCTTATCTCCTTTCTTCTCTTCCACTGCTTCTTCAGCTATAACTCTAAGCACTAGAATTTCAACAAGCACCAACATGGCCAGCCGGAAGTCATTCCTGTTCCACCCTGACGGGAAAAGAAATTTAAAGGTGGAGATGGGAGGAAGTAAGCTTCCCTCAGCTAGTGCAAGTAAGAAAGAAGAGATGGCATTGTTAGATCGAACAACGCCTGTGGAGGGGAATGCCACAATAGAAAATCTCAGGGCAGTCAGCAAGACCAAAGACAGTGTGACTCTGATGTGGAACATCATCAACACCACACATAGCTCTGAGGTGACCGTGTTATATTCCAAGTATGATGAGAAGGATCTGCTGCTGCTGAATGCAGACTCCAGCAAGAACCAAGTAACCATAGATGGCTTGGAGCCTGATAAGCAATACATAGCATGTATTTGTCCCAAAGGAGTGCCTCCTCAGAAAGACCAATGTGTCACCTTTTCTACTGACAGAGTTGAAGAAGAAGGTGATTCTCAAGAGTTCTTCCTTATTGTGGTGAGCGGTACTGCCTGTGTTGTTGTCTTGCCATTGATTTTTTTCCTGTTGTACAAAGTTTGCAAACTGCAGTGTAAGTCAGAACCCTTCTGGGAAGATGATTTGGCAAAGGAGACTTATATCCAATTTGAGACCCTGTCCCCCAGGTCTCAAAGTATAGGAGAACTTTGGACACGAAGGCACAGAGACGATTCAGAAAAATTGCTGCTTTGTTCTAGGTCAAGTGTGGAATCTCACATGACTTTTAAAAGTGAAGGTTATAGATCAGACTATTATTGCTAAGGTTTTATAGCTTAGACACATGTGAACCCACAAAATTTCTTCCACAAAATTAAAGGTCTGAGAGTATAGTTGACTTTCGGAATGACTTTCGGACAGATTTGTACATCCTCCATGAAAATCACAAATGGAGTGCTTTTATCTGGGTTTTAAAAACTACCATCAAACTTCTGAACTGAAAAGACAATCTTGATTTTTGTTGGGTGGAAGATGTACCTAGAAATAACTTTTAGAATAGCACTTAATAAGTTAGAAATACTTTAGGGTAATGTTTTTAGGGTGATGTGTTAGTTCTTAAAAAATAAATTCAGGTGAAAAAAAGTGAAGTCTGAATTTTTAAAAGATAGTTTTTTGGGCAGTGAAGAAAGGTTAGTATAGTCAGCTAAGCCTTGATGTTCATTCATGTTCAAAGTGCTTTATGGCATTTGCTGTGGACATTTGCTGCCACTGCCTAGTGGGTGAGAGTGGAATGGTACAGAGGCCTGATTTAACCTTCATTGATTTCATGTTCACTAAGGTTAAATAGAATCGGATGGAGAGTGAGGGCTCCTGCTCTTGGTACCATTATGTATTAAAGTACTGTACAGTTGTATCCATGTTGCAGGTAAAAAAAAAATTCCCCTTGTCCTTAGAAATATAGGTATTAGCAAAAATAAGTTTAAAATGAGGATCATGACAAATAGTAAGGCCATTTCAAAAAATAGTAACATTTGCTACCAGACTGTATGGGTTTTCTTTTTAAGTGCTCATTTTAAAATAATTTCTTTAATATTTTGATATTTACTCTTTTTTCCTCCATCTCTCTCTTCTCCTTCCCTCTTTTCCCCTTCTGCTTTGTCAGAAGATATTCAGGTAGTCAAAGACCACAACTAAGCTGTTTGTCTTTTGCCATGTTATATTTTGCCATATTATATACCCGGATAAAGGGAAGAACTTTGAAAATCTTTTTTAGATCCAATAAAGCATGTGTTTGGATTTTGGGAGAGCGACTTCAGTGGATTCGTTTGATCAAACTTTCTAGGTTAAAAACATCAAGGAAATTGAACTAGAGTGGGTCACATCAATAGATAGGAAAGGTGCTTCATAAATAAAATTTAGAGTTTTTTTAAAGAAGTTTTCATCACCTTTAGTAACGATTATATTCCCTTTACAATGAAAGTTTTGGAGTATATATAGGGGTCCTTAAATATTCTGAGAAGCAAGTTCTAAGCAAATAACTATATTTGTGCAAGAAACATATTGGCTTTAATGTAACACATTGTGGAAATTAAAATACAAGCAGCTGGAGAATGAAAAAATTGTTCATTCCAAATGGCTCTTAATTAAAAAGAAAAAAAGAATTCTAGTTTAGCCATAACCTGCATATTAGAGGAAGACCAGCATGGATGGATGGCCTGCTTGGAACTCCCAAATTTCCCCTTTTTGTATAATTTCTGTTTCTTTCCTTTCCTTTCCTCCCTTTCCCTTCCCTTCCCATCTGTCCTGTCCCTCCCCTCCCCTCTCCTCCCTCTTCCTTCCCTTCTCTTTCCTTTCCTTTCTTTCTAGCTTGTTTGTCCTTGGTGCTTTAATCACTGAGTGCATTGTCTAATGATCTAACAATTTTTAATTTAATACTCATTGTTAGGGTTTGTTAGAAGAATACCTTGTGTAGACAATTTTGTATTTAGCTTCAAGTTATGTTTGATCAACTTATTTTAAAGATCGCAAAAATTTGCATTTCTTTATTCTAAAGGCATCATGAAATTTCACTGCCATATTCAAAAGGTTCACATAAAGAGACTGCCAAAATACTACCACATTGGAAATAATATATATGACTATGGGAGAACGTTACAGACTACTGAAGGTTGTCATCAAAGGAGACTTGGAGCATCCTGATGAGATTAATTACTGACTACCTTCATAATTAAAATCAAGTAAGGCCTGGACTTAGTTTTGACCAACAAGCAAGAGCTAGTTGGTGGTATGGAGGGGAGAAAGCACCTGTGTCATCTTCAATTTGGTATTGGTACATGAGGCAAGTTGCAAGTAATTTGTTCCTAATAGTGAAAGAAGTAGAATTGTAAATCATCTACTTTCTAAAAATACATTCATTTGAGTGTAGTCAAGGTTATCATGATGATATCATTGCTCTTACGTTCTTATAAGAAACAGCGTGGAATTCTATGTAATCAGCAACCTGTTTATGAATTCACCATAGCATGGTGAAGAGCAATCATATATATGATATATATATAATTAAATATCATTACAATGCTTTACTTTCAGACAAAATGTACTTGAGGTTTGTAAAACTTAGGGTACACATGATGGTGTGTCACATGGGAGGCTGTCATCAGTCATGTGCTTAGATACACAAAAAAGATGTCGAGAACACCACGCTAATAGTTTGTGATGGCCAGAAAAGCAAACCCTGGGTTTTAGAGTCAGACAAGTACCACAAATTTTGGGAAGCTTTTACAAAAAGTTCAAAGAAAAAGTTTTTTGACCCACATGGACTTGACTCTCAAAATGGGGTTAAGACTAACTTCCATTTTAAAAAACAACACTAGAGTTGAATAATCGTGAAATGATTCGAATAAAATGGGAGACAGCTCAAGAAAGTTGAATAACTGGCTAGTAATCTGAAATTTCAAATGTGTATATAAAAGATATAAAGAAGGGAGAGTAACCAAAGATGAACGTAGAAATGTAGGAATTAAGGCTCCTTATAAATTGAGGATGAAAAAAATGGTAAAGTGATCAGAAGGAACTGTAAGTTGTTTTTTTTTCTTTTTTTCTTTTTTTGTCAAAAAGAACAAGGAAATAATAAATCCACTACTTAGAGATGATAACAGAAAACATTAGAGAAGTAGCAGAATCACTCGACTCCTGTTTTCTCTTTTCTAGACGGGTTGTTAAACGGAATATAGAGAAGAAACTATGAAAAATAGGAATTTTCAGCCCCAGATAGATGAGGGATTAGTAAACTAACACCAAGATATTTAAAATGAGGCCAATGGATTAGGTACCAGGATGGTAACAGAATTTTCAGCCATAATCTCAGAGCTACCGTTTAGTAGTCTTTGAAAAGTCACGGCAAGTAGAGATACCGCAAGATCACAAATGGGTAACTTTTATCTTTAGTTTTAAAGAGGGAAATAGAGTAGATTTTGGAAATTATAGACAACTTGATTCATGTTTGCAGATTTGACAACAGATTGTTAAAAAGTTCGTTTTTGAGCATGCAGAAATGAATGTTATGGTCATTAGCAGCTAACAAATGTCAACTAAAGAGAAGCTTTGATAAACTAATATGGTTTATTTTTTATGCAATTACTATGCAGGTAGATTAAAGGACTGCTTGAAAATCAGGTAACAGCTAGCTATTGTTATTTGTCTTGACTCGATAGAGTAATATGGGTTGTCTCTTCTCAAGAATGTCTAGTAATGGCTTTAAATAACATGGGAGAGTGTCTAGTAGGGTGCATTTGCCCTATTCTATTTAACATTTTTATAAATAACTGGATGAACATAGAGATCCCACTCTGCAGATGACATGAAAACAGACAGGGTATCTTATATCAGTGCTTCTCAAACTTTTCCCTGGAATATTCCTAATGGAAGTGGAAAGTAAACATGTACATTTGGAGAAACCAGGCAATTGTCCTGAGTGGCTACCAGGAGAGGAACATTTCTCTGAATTATTTTGTCTTAATTAAAAGCCTTGTGAATTTCTATTTTATAGCATAATCTTAAAAAATATAAACTAATCTTCTCCCTAATCAATCTCATTTCTTTAGGTAAAATTGACATTTCTGTGCCTTTGGCTGTCTTGGCACCTATTCCCCCAGAGGTATTCTGCATATCTTCACCCAGGTCAATTATAATAGAATAGAGTAACGGACAGAGACCTGTGGCTCTCTATCAGAGACTATTTCATGCTATATAAAGCCATCAATAGACACTTATATGACAGGCAAAGAAACCAAATTTTGAAAATTATCTAAATAAGATAGCATATTAAATCCAACAGGGATAAATATAATTTTTGCTTTTGGATTAGCATAAATGTGGGTGTTCGAGTGGAAAATAAATCTGTGACTTTAGTTGATTACAATCATGCTATGAATCAACAGTTATGTAATTGCTAAATATGCTAACATTAAGTTACTTTAACATAAGTAGTAGTTAGATCAAGGAAGATAAGAGTCCCTCTATGCTCTGCGTTAATAAACCATTTCTAAAGGGGCAAGTTTAATTTTGGATGGTAAATTTAAATAGGGACCTTGATAAACTAGGGAGTAGCCATAGGAAGCCACTAAGATCACCTAGCATCTAGAAACATGGTCATGCAAAAATGGGTTAAGAACCTGGAGCACAGACTTTGGGGAGACCAGACTGGCTTTGTGCAGCACATGGCACCAACTGTTGCTCTCCAGCACTGTGCTTAAGAGCATCTGTTTGGGTTGTTAAAATGGAGACTCCTGGGTTCTACAGGTAGAAATTCGAATTCAGCAGCATGGGGCCTTGAAAAACTTCATTTTGACACTCAACTCAGGAGAATGATGCAGGTGATGTAAAGACTTTGAGAAACGCTGTTATATGCAATGAATGTAAAAGCAATATTGGAATTACAAAGAAGCCGAATGGATCCACATTAAATAACAAAAACAACTTTTTTTGGTACCAACCACAGTTGAAAATAGTGAAGTAAGCTGTGTTGTAATAGTAATACACAGGACATTCATGGGTATTCCAGGAGTCAGGGATGATGCAGAGAGACATTATGGGACATGGTAGACTAAAAGTCCTCGGGTCAATCATTTGGACTATATCAGAAAGAAAGGAAAACTAATAAGTATATTCATTGGTTTTGGTGGAAAGAGAATGCTAATATTTGTATTGATAAATAGCCTCTTTTTGTTTATTAATTTATAATAAAATTGATTTTGTATACAGACAGTTGACTCTTGATTTGTTCAAATAGTCAAAAAAATTAGGCTGTACTCCCAATAAATATA